ATAAGACTCATCTAGACTTATCTGTGCTTTTTTTTTTTCCTTTTGAGACAGGATCTCACTTTGTCACTCGGGCTGGAGTGCAGTGGTGTAATCTCTGCTCACTACAACCTCTGCTTCCCAGGCTCAAGAGATCCTCCCGCCTCAGCCTCCCAAACAGCTGGGACTATAGGCACAAGCCACCAGGCCTGGCTAATTTTTTTTTTCTTTTTTGTATTTTTGTAGAGATAGGGGCTTGTCATGTTGCCCAGGCTTGTCTTGAACCCTTGAGCTCAAAGTGATCTGCCCACCTCAGCCTCCTAAAGTGCTGGGATTACAGGCATGAGCCACCGCACCTGGCATTATCTGTGCGTTTTTGGCCATTTGCTTTTGCCCTTGGCCCAGGTAACTAACATTCTTTTTGGTTCAAATAGCTGTTAGGTATGGGGAACCTGGACTTTCTTCAAGGAAAGCAGTATAAGGAAGTCAGATTTCTAAGGGTGAAGTAAAAATAGGCCAAATCCGATTCCTTTGATTTTTACTCCTTGAGAACTTCACTCTTGAGTCCATAGCTTAAGTTCCAGGTCCTGCACAACAGGAGAGCATCGCTGTAGTGATTACGTCCCTGGCCACTTCCATGTCCTGGAGGGAGACTGTTTGTCGGACAGAAGTTACTTTATTCAACAGTCCTTTTAAATGGAAAGAATGCAGCTTGTCAGGCATACAATACTTTGTGCTCACTCCCTTTTTCTCTTCCAGCTCCAGGCCTGGTGGCGGGGCACTATGATACGGAGAGAAATTGGTGGTTTCAAGATGCCTAAAGACAAAGTTGATAGCAAGGATTCAAAAGGCAAAGGCAAGGATAAGAGGAGAGGCAAGAAGAAGTGACCAAGTTCTCTTCCGTCTTTTCCTCTGGTATTCTGGAGGTGGGAAGGACTTGAGAGAGTTAAGAAACACCTGGTACCATCAAAGATGACTCATCTACAGGTTGTTTCCTATTGAGACTTTCCCAGAGAAGCCTGATTTCACTCTGCCTGTGAATTTCACTCTGCCTGATTTCACTAGGCCTGATAATTTCATTGGGCCTGTTAATTGCTCTTGGCCTGTTAATTTCACTCTGCCTGTTACCTGGGTTTTCAAACCCTGATTTAGGATTATACCATTGACTTAGGGCTTCCTCACATCTTGCTGGGAAGAAGAGTTTCTGGTAGTCCTGTGAAGATTGTTTCTTTTTCTCAGTGAACAAAGCAGTTCATTGGCTTAGTTACAGTGACGCATGAAAACTTCAGTAATTCCTGTAATGTCTGATTCTGATTTTACCCAATTTGTAGTGAAAAAAACTCTTATGAGCAAAAGTATTCAGTAAGAATTACAAGATGATGTTATTAGCTGTCCAGCATAATATATACACAGTAAAGTTTTAATAAATGTTGGTTCCTGCCTGCCTTTTAGATTTATCGTCACTCTGGTGTTTTTATTGGGGTGAAAATGGCATGGAACACATATCCAGTTATAAGCTGCTTCAGCAACTTTTCTAGGAAACAGGGATACAAATTATAAATACAAGCTAGAAATAGGATGTTAGGATATACAACTTTACAAACTGTAAAGATGGGACACAGGTTCTCTGGAAGGCTGGTCTGGATACATTTTTGACAAGTGAAACACTAGGGCCAATACCTGCTTTGCTAACTCAACAATCCCCACTTTATGGAGTGTGAAGATGAAAAGAAATAAGGTGTGTGAAAATACCTAACCTGTGCCTGGCAAATAGGAAAGCTGTCACTCTCCCTCTTCTAGAAAAAAATAAGCCCACCAGATCATGCTTGCCGTGATAAGTCTAAACAATGCCTTGTGATGCTCAAGGTTTCCAAGAGAAAAGTTGTCCTAATGTGTCACAAACATTTCAGGAATTAAGCCTTCTATCTACCTAACTCCAGATAAAGCAGTCTTGATATCTGTACTTCCTTAAGAAAATCAACTTGATCTCAAAAGCCTGTCCTGAAGTCCCCCGTTTCCACTGACACTCCTTCTGGAAAGGAGATGCCCTTTCCTTAATTCACCTTTGCCAAGGGAACCACACCTCAGGTATGAACACTCTCCAATCAGCTTTTATTACATGCCACTGAAGTGTTGGCTTTGATTTTAATGTCAACATATAAAGTGGCATACAGGCAATTTAAAATAACATACATGATACTGACATATTTATACTTAGAACTTATGCAATATATTTACAGACATACAAATATAGGACAATGTTTTACAAAATCTTTCACTAATTACATGTTTACAACATTTTCAGAAATAAAACGGAATTTGCTGTAAACCATCTCACTGCACTGTGTATATAGAAAGGCTTCTGAATATCCATGTTTTCATTTCTACAACCATTTAAGTGCTTAGTTTTTACGAATTCATCAAACTCGCAGCATACTCACACATCATTAGTCACTGCTGAGCTGTAAAAGTAAGAGAAATCGCAAACTCCTAGATTAGCTGTATTTTAAAAAGCTCTTCAGGAAAGTGATCTACTACTATGCTCTGTGTTCTAGCAGAATACAAAGGCCCCTCTTCCCATGGGTCGTTTCCAGACCTGGCTATTACAAGAGAACACTGGAGTGCTAAACACAGATTACCAGTCTGAAATTGTGGGAAACTCCTGACAGAAAATCTCTGTAGGTGGCAAGGGCTCTGCTGGGGGGCTCTCAGCCCTCACGACACTGTCCAGTGATAGGAAGGAAGCTCTGCTAGAGTGCTCTCAGACTTCCGGCCTGTCAGTGATGGGAAGAACTCTGCTGGGCGGCTCTCAGCCGCTGACACATCGTGATGGGAAGGGCTCTGCTGGGGGTGCTGTCAGCCACCGACACTGTCAGTGATGGGAAGGGCTCTGCTGGGGGGGCTCTCAGCCGCTGACACTGTCAATGATGGGAAGGAGCTCTGCTGGGCGGCTCTCAGCCGCGACACTGTCAGTGATGGGAAGGGCTCTTTGCTGAGGTGGCTCTCAGCCGCTGACACCTGTATCAGTGTGGGGAAGAGGGCTCTGCCAGAGGCAGCTCTCAGCCGCTGACACTGTCAGTGATGGGAAGGGCTCTGCTGGGGTGCTGTCAGCCCTCCAACACTGTCAGTGATGGAGGAAGCTCTGCTGGGGGTGCTGTCAGCCCTCCGACACTGTCAGTGATGGGAAGGGCTCTGCTGGGGGGCTCTCAGAACTTCCACGACACTGTGGCGGGGAAGAGGCTCTGCTGCGAAGTCAGCCTCCGACACCTGTCAGTGATGGGAAGGAGGCTCTGCTGGGGGGTGCCATCAGCCTTTCAGAGGCACTGTCAGTGATGGGAGGGCTCTGCTGGGGGTGCTGTCAGCACATTACTGTCAGTGATGGGGAAGAGGAGCTCTGCTGTAGGCTCTCAGCCTCCGACAGTGTCAGTGATAGGAATGTCAGCCACCGACACTGTCAGTGATGGGAAGGGCTCTGCTGGGGGGCTCTCAGCCTCCGACAGTGTCAGTGATAGGAAATGCTCTGCTTCAGGTCAGGGGAGCCGTGACAAGGTCATCTTCATCTTACACTGGAGTCAAGCGAAGCTAAATGTTAAACCAAATTGTGCTTTCCAATTTTTTTAAAAAAGGTACATACAAAATACTGAATACAAAATTCTCCCAACAAAAGCATGATTTGTTTTTGCATCTTGACACCAAAAAGAAATTCATACCTTCATACCTCTGCAGAGGGTCTGAAAAAATCAAGAGGGTTTGGGGAAAAAAAAAAATGTATTTGATATTTTTCCTTCAATTATCAGCCAAAACCGCACCCAGTTTTTCCTAACAATTCAAATACAAATCTCATTTAGTTTGATAAAAATACATTAATAAGGTTTCATAATATGTGCAAAATTTGAAATAAGCTGAAATTTCCATTTATTCCTATGGGAAAATTACTTGCAAACGTGGCAAGTATTTCATTATGTAACGTCTTCTAGAATTATTCCTTGCATAGTATGTTTTTGATTTTGTGGTTTTTTTTTTTTTTTGGAGACAGGAGTCTTGCTCTGTCACCCAGGCTGGAGGGCAGTGGTGCGATCTCGGCTCACTGCAACCTTCGCCTTCCAGGTTGAAGCGATTCTCCTGCCTCAGCCTCCTGAGTCACTGGATTACAGGCGCCCGCCACCACGCCCAGCTAATTTTTGTATTTTTAGTAGAGATGGGGTTTCACCATGTTGGCCAGGCTGGCCTGCATGTGTTAAAAATAATCCTGTCATTTGCTGAGTTCCATGTCTGGTGGCATATAATTTGGAGACTATACTGAGGCTTAATGCTGACAAATACAGTTTAAAAATACATACAGCTAAATTCTAAACAAGTTATATAAGGGTCAGTGGGTCTGTTGGGAACTGTAAATATAATGGGGTCTGGCTCTAAGCACTTACATAAAGACATTTTACTTTCATTCTATAAGATTGGGCATTGACTTAGATGTTGTAAGTTATACAATTTATCTTATTTTGAGAGATGGGGTCTCACTCTGTTGCCCAGGCTGGAGTACAGTGGTGCAGCCATGACTCACTGTAGCTTCGACCTCCCAGGCTCAAGTGATCCTCCCACCTCAGCCTCCTGAGTAGCTGGGAGTACAGGCATGTGCCACCATGCCCGGCTTTTTTTTTTTTTTTTTTTCAATTTTTGGGGGACAAGGTCTTGCTATGTTGCCCAGGCTGCTCTCAAACTCCTGGGCTCAAGTGATCCTCCTGCCTCGGCCTCCCAAAGTGCTGGGATTACAGGCGTGAGCCACTGCGCCCAGGCCATTACACAATTTTAAACCTGGTCAAGTGGTAATGTTCTGATGAATCTGTTTCTCTGCAAGAACAAGGAAGAAAACATTACTTTGACCAGGTACTCAACATGATTTGATCCAAAGCTACTTTTAGATGCTACATTTACCTGATAAAAAGAGGAATAACATTATGTCTAAATGGATGCATTGGTAAAGAAAATCCGGAACAGTTAACAACTACAGAAACAAAATACATAACTAATATCTTCCACTTACTTTATTTACTTGTTTTACAAAGGCAGTGAACACCAGAATATATCACCAACAACTAAGAGGGGTTCAAAATGCAGGGAAAGGAAAACTCAGCTAGCTGAAACTGGAATAAAAGCTCCTGTGTGGTGTTGAGCCCTTGGGCCCTTTTCCTCCACCCATAATTGAGTATATAAAGGCACTAGTGGTGGAGTCAGATGGGGCGGGTTTTTTTTTTTTTTTGAGACGGAGTTTTGCTTTTGTTGCCCAGGCTGGGGTGCAATGGCACGATCTCAGCTCACTACATCCTCCGCCTCCTGGGTTCAAGTGATTCTCCTGCCTCAGCCTCCCGAGTAGCTGGGATTACAGGCACGAGCCACCACACCCGGCTAATTTTGTATTTCTAGTAGAGACAGGGTTTCTCCATGTTGGTCAGGCTGTTCTCAAACTCCCAACTTCAGGTGATCTGCCCACTTCAGCCTCCCAAAGTGCTGAGATGACAGGCGTGAACCACCGCACACAGCTAGGAAGTTGTTTTTAAGATGCCGTAAGTGCTTTACTTCAGCCACAGAAACTGGCAGTTACCTGAAAGAAATATAAGAAACTAGGCTTTCCCGAGCTCGAAGTGTATGTGCTGTGACTGCAACGTGTCTGCAGGCCCAGGTGTCCGCGGAGCAGCGTGAGGAGGGTGAGGAGGGTGAGGAGGGTGGGGCGGGTGAGGAGGGTGCGGAGGGTGCGGAGGGTGGGGCGGGAGGCTCAGTGAGACCGAAGCAGGCGATGCACAGCAGTGTGCTATCAGCTTAAGGATTTGGAACCTGTGTCTAGAGGGCTTGTTTCTAATGTCTAGATAACAGGATGACATAGAACCATCTTCTATGATGGACTGGAGTTGAAGGGAGGCCTAGAACACTGACCTTAAATACAACTGTTATCTGTTTCACTTTTTACTATGCAAAATTTGGGCCAGGCCCAGTGGCTCACTCCAGTAATCCCAGCACTTTGGAAGGCTGAGGCAGGAGGATCACTTGAGCCCAGGAGTTTCAGACCAGCCTGGGCAACACGGCGAGACCCCAACTCTTAAAAAAAAAAAAAGACTATGCAAAATCTAGGTCTTCTATATTATTTTTGTTTTGTCTTTGACAGAATAGTCCAGCTCCTCATAATACAGCTTTTGATTTTAAATGTGGGTGAAAAAATGCAGTGGGGCCATTACCCTCCCCGCCAAACATACAAATATCTAGCTTTGAACAGTGGTTTGGGGCAGGCGCAGTGGCCACGCCTGTAATCCCAGCACTTTGGGAGGCCGAGGCGGGTGGATCACTTGCAGTCAGGAGTTTGAGACCAGTCTGGCCAGCATGGCAAAACCCCATCTCTACTAAAAATACAAAAAAAGTAGCCGGGCGTGGTGGTGGGCGCCTGTTGTCCCAGCTACTCGGGAGGCTGAGGCAAAAGAATCGCTTGAGCCCGGGAGGCGGAGGTTGCAGTGAGCTGAGACCGTGCCACTGCACTCCAGCCTGGTGACCGAACGGAACTCCTTCTCAAACAAAAACATGTGCAATGGTTGTTGAAAATGCAGATTCCTAGGCCTTACCCCAGACCTCCTGAACGTGAATCTGTATTTTAACAAAGACTCCAGGAGATTCTAACGAACAATCAAGTTTAGAAACCAGCAGACCAGCTGTCTTGAGAGCAGGTAAAAACAACGGCACAGCATGCCTGTGCCTAACGCAGAAGATGTGCTTTCTGGTGTGTGAAATGAGCCTGCTCTCCAGGAAAACACAGCCAGGTCAGGTGTTGGGTTTTCAGTAACGAAAGAAGTTTCATCTGAGAAAACCAAGGGTGTCTTCGTAAAAAAATTCAATGGAAATGGATATAACCTCCCCTAAAATGGAGAAATGATGCAAAATATTCCTGTTAGGAATCATGGAAACAGTCCCTTCTGAGAACACATAAGAGCTTTGTTTAAGCAGACAGCTGGCAGCAGCAATCACGTTGTCCTGTTCCTTGTTTTGGCCAGGCCAATGGCCCAAGGTCTTGGGAATCCTTAAACAGCAGATAACTGGTGCTGCTGTTGCTTGGGTGGGGCAAGTTCCAGGAGAGCCTGGACCGTCACTGCAACCTGGCTCAAACCTTTCTCTTCTAAAATGTGGAGAGGCAAACATAATTGCTCCTGAAATGGGACAACGCAACACACAAACAAAAAGAAAATCAATGAGTTTCACAGAACTGAAAGGAAAAAGCAAGCACTTCTCCCCTTCATAATAATCAATGAAGATAGGAAAATGTAGTACCTGGGAAACCGACCTCAGTGGAAATCTGAGTGAGATACAGATGGTGACTGACGCTCACTGTCACTTTATTAATACAACTAAAAGTACATACAGATCATTTTCAAAACTGGGAAACTGACAAGTAGCGTATATTTATACATACAGCAGAGGAAAAACAGTACTGCAGTGTGAAAGCAACATCCTTATCTCTGATGAATAAAAGGCCAGTGCAGATCTATAAAATAGGAAATGTGAAAAATAGAAAAACAATTCCACGCTACCAGATGGCTCAAGACTGAAAGATTTACACTTCAGGAGAAAGCACTTTGTGAGTTCCCTACCACAGGAATGCAAGATAGTTTGAAAACATAACTCAGCCTGCATGAGTTCTACACTGTCTGCATTATAATCCTGACTATGAAAACCAGGGTTCCCAGGCCAGGCAGGGCAAGAAACTCAGCGTATCCTGAGCTCTTGAGATTTAGATGTGTTTGAGAAACTTCCCCCTAATTTGAATAATTCATGGAAGGGCCTGTCTGAATTAAAAATCTGAATTACAGAATTAAAAATAAATAGTATTTGAAAATGTAAAGTATTTAATATCCTGGTATTTAACAGCCTGAATTATTCCAGGGAACTACTACGTAAGCTTAGGCAGGAATATGTTGATTACCAACATCTGTAGAGTGTTTACAATGTTTGCTTAAAGAAGTTAAGTAATACATCGAGTGTGTGCGCATCATTAATTTGTTAGGTTAATCCTTTCTTGTGAGAGAAAAAGGCAAATCTTAAGAACAGCACTTTCTGTTAAGAGTAAATATTCAGAAAGAAAAGAGATTGCTCTTACGAAGAACAGAATATAGAATTCTGGTTCCACTAAAAAAAGATTACACGTTTGTTAAAGACGACAACTAGTTTTTTTTTTTTTTTTGCTTTTCATAGAGACGATATTACTACGAAATTTTACAAAACCAGTTACAATAAAATATATAACAAGTATTTATTTTTGAGGCAGTTACTAGTACTTGTGCTTACTTTTTATTTAATACTTATCTTGATAAAATGAGGTAACTGTAATCTTTTGATCTAATAAAACTAGCAACTTTGTAGAAATACTAGGTGCAACTGCACGTCTAGATAAATTATTTTTAAAATGAACCTGCCGAGTGTTTTGTTTTGCTGTCGGAAGAGACATGCTTTCTCCGAGGCCGATTCCCTGATCTCTTCCTCTCAGTAGCGCCCTAGGACCTGTGTGGCCTGGTGTTTACACTCAGAAGCCTATGCTTTCTAGAGCACACTTACCTTCCAGCTGGGCTAGAGGGGGTGCTGTGTGCTCTCAAGAGAATGTACAATTACAACCCCTAAACCATGAGAGCCTGTGTGTGTTTTTTAACAGGTGTTTCAACTCTGAGACATCTTAAAAATAAAACCAACCCAACTCCCCAAAGTCTGAAAGGCACCTACTACCACAGAAAACTGAAGTTTTCATCATCACAGTGTTTAGTGTTTGAGCATTAACAGTGAACAGTCTTTTCACCTGTGAAAATAGCTGTCCCATTTCATGTGGAAGAAAACCAAACCAATGAGCCCCTCAGGCTGAATTCTACAACTGCATGTCGTGCTCCTCACCATCTCTCCTCATACTTGAGTTCATTCTTTATCCCAATTTTGTTAACACAGTTCAGAAGTTTCCTGAATATTCAGAAACACCACTTATGAAATTAGAATCTAACCGCAATTGTAAAGTAGTTTCCAGCATTAATGTCTAGCAGCTAAATGCTAAGCATTCTGAAAGAACCAGACAGTATTCACTGCCTTGAGTACAGAACAGGGACTGCTGCCCTGCTACTTCTCCTGCTGCAGTTTCACTATTAAGGAGGTTAGAAATCACATAAATTCCAATTTTAAACAGAATGCTGGGAGCGAGTCTCGGTCACACATAAACAAACACAGTCAATCTGGGCAGGCGCCCGCCCTGAGGCCAGCTCCACCCATCTGCTCGTGTGCACCACGTGACCCATCTGCTCGTGTGCACCACGTGACCCATCTGCTCGTGTGCACCACGTGCAACGTGTGGATTGGGCTCAGAATAGCAGTCTAGGAAATCCACGTGATCTTTAAACTGAACATTCTGACCAAACTACAATTATTAAAATGACGGCCAATACCTTCCGAACGTCCAGACCGCAAATGCTTAGACGGACCTGTGCCTACCCACAAAGGGGGGATTCAGGATTTCCGGACACAGTTCAAAGCAGAAATCTAAGTGACCGGGTACTGCCAAAACCAGAAAAGCCACGATGATCTTCCTCATGAGCAGCTGCTGAAAAGGCTCAGTCACTCCACAATGTCACCACTTGTGCTGAGACATGGAAAAACGGCCAGATGGCGGTTGTATTGTGTGACTTGGAAATAAAGCTCTACATGTCATATTCGAAGTACAAGTTCAGAATTGTATCAGTAAAAATGCTTCAGCGTTTATGGGAAGAGAAACAAGGCCACAGGCCAGGAGAATGGGCGGATGACCAGGAGAAAAAGATGCTGGTCTTTTACTCTTTGTCAGCAAAGTGTCTGCTAATGCGACCGGGCTGCACATCTGCAAATGCAAGGAAAGGATTTGTCTCCTTTACCGGTGAGCTCTTTGAGGGCCAGCGGGGAGAAAAAGCACTTATATAAATAATTCTGAATGACAAACAAACCTCCTTTACCCAGCACAGGAATGAGGTGGAAAGTCACCGGAGTGCAATCTTTCAGCTAGAGGGGAAGAGCCAGTAATAAAGCATACAGAGAGTTAACATGACAGTACAGTAAAATGCCACAAAACCCAGAAGCTGGATAGAGAGACAGACAAAACTGGATTCTTCTGAGTGTGCCCCAAGAGAAAGCAGTGTTTCAACAGTTCTTTTAACGCTGAGGTTTAGCTGAAGGATGTCGGAAGGGGAACAAAGATTGTCCTGTCCAAAGTGTGAGCAGGAAAGGAAAACAGAAAAACAAAGTCAGTAGATCAGAAATGCAGATCTGAGTATAGAATTCAATATGATCATCTCAATCATATTCATATATACACATCCTGTAACGTTTTTACCTTGAGGAACAAAAATAAAACGCTGAAAACCCAAACTACAAAGAATCTTCTATATGCTGAGCTTGATCTTACTACTAAATAGCAGAATAAAATTTGCGTGTTGGTGACTAGTCTGAACATTACGAATACAATACACAGGCCGGGTGCGGTGGCTCACGCCCGTAATCCCAGCACTTTGGAAGGCTGAGGTGGGCGGATTATGAGGTCAGGAGATCAAGACCATCCTGGCTAACACGGTGAAACCTCGTCTCTACTAAAAATACAAAAAGTGAGCTGGGCGTGGTGGCACGTGCCTGTAGTCCCAGCTACTCGGGAGGCTGAGGCAGGAGAATGGTGTGAACTCGGGAGGCAGAGCTTGCAGTGAGCTGGGATCGCACCACTGCACTCCAGCCTGGGCGACAGAGGGAGACTCCATCAAAAAAAAAAAAAAAAAACAAAAAAAAAATACAATACACAGAAGTGGATGTTGGTTTAGGGTCGTGTGAGGCCTGAGAGTAGTGAGGTGTGTGTGAAGCAACGTCTCTCCTGACTCATTCTCCTCTATTAAAAAAAAAAAGAGTAGGTCAGAAAGCAAGGACAAAAACTGCAGAGGCTGAGGTGAGGGACGTTTTCGGAGAAAGCCAGGTACATCAAAAAGGTTCAAAGACTGAGCAAAGCCTCATGATCCGGGTGCAGTTTACTGCCTAGAAGCCAAACGCATTCAATGACTTGGCGTTCCTCTAAAAATCAGGGGGTGTCTGTTTTAACCAAGTCCAGCTCAAGAATGTGTTCGAAACGAACATAGAGCTGTTAAGGGCCTCAGAGATCATCCAAACCCTCCATTTTACAGATTGCAAAATTCACTAAATAAATACAAACATCAGTGGACTTGACAACAGGGAGACATCCTTTAACACATAACATAACAACTCTGGGACAACAGATACTGGACCAGATACAAGTTTTTAATCACCCATTACGGTTTTTTTTGAATGTAGCATATTTAATAAAAGCATAAAAATAAAGCAAATACCCATATGCCCAATGTCATCAGAGGTTTTTAATAATTGCCTTGTCCTTTAGTGTTTCATTCATGCTTTAACTTGTGTAACACTTGAAAAGTTATACAGAGAAAGGAAATTATTTGTCTTTATATATCTCATCTGGGTATAGAATCTGACAAAATACTTACAATACTGTTTTCTGTTTTACATTTTCAAAAGTGATCATTATTACCTTCCCAATTTTCAAGTCACACAGAGCAAAGTGGGGATGTTTAAGTAAAGGCCAGAATGACCAGAAGTACAGGAGGAAAAGGAAGAAGGGGAGGTAGAAGTTTCTTCTCTTCCTTTGGCAGTGGGACCTGAGAAGGCGAGCTCGAACCTATGAGTTTGTGCGTTTATTCGTTTTCTTTCACTTTGTTCTAGACAAATGATTAATTTTTCAGCAGCAGTAGCAGCATACTAGGAACCCGTCTAAAACTGGCAGTGGTTGTGGTGGGGACCTGGGTGGAGGGCGGAAGGCGGAAGGGGAGAAGGAAGGGGCAGCCTATGAGGAATGTCCACTTCCTCTTTGTGGAGGGAGAGGGAGGGAGGATGCCTCAAAACCTCAGTCTAACCACTCTGGAAAAAGACCCAGTCTTTTAAAACTGTATTATTTTTTTCTCTGTACTTGCCTTCCAACAGTACAGCTCTGGTAGGAACAGGGCAAGCTGGCCCATAATAAACATCGTCACCCACGGCATACCAGTGGACAGCTACAATGGCTGTAATCGCTGGTAAACAGTGCTTTTAACAGGCGGCATACCAGTGGACAGGTACAATGGCTGTAATCGCTGGTAAACAGTGCTTTTAACAGGCGGCATACCAGTGGACAGGTACAATGGCTGTAATCGCTGGTAAACAGTACTTTTAACAGGTTTTGACATCGGTTGGGTCAACATGACTTGCCTGAGCGGGGCCATATTCAGCACTCTCTATCGATTTCGCGGTTCCCATTCTGCACCAACCCATGCCATACTCTCTGTTTAAAGACACTGGCAGGGAACTAGAGCAGACACTAGATGTTTGTGTAGCAGGAACCTCTTCAGGAAGCAGAAGGGAAGAACTGGAGGCTAATGTGCACTATTAGAACAAACTTGTTTAAAAGAACGTATGTTGTTTCTTCAGAAGCCATATTCAGTGCTCTCAAAATATTTAAAAAGGTCTGTTCTAAAAGAGGAGGCTTTATCAAACAACATAACATAAACATGAAAATTTTGCTTTGAATTTGTCCATAGGAATCAAAAAGGTCTTTGCTAACTACCACTTTATGTAAATTTCCATTCTTTTACAATTCAGTTTTAAAAAAGGAAAAAACAGCAAAAGAAAAAAGTAAAAAATAAATAGTAGAATGATGATCTACCTTCATAAGAGAAAAACCACCCTGGGAATCCTGCTGGCTGATGCAGATGCTCTATGGAGCTGGGCGCTCTCTCTTTCACTTTGTAACACGTGAAAGAGCTGAAAGAGAAGGTCACTCTTTGGACAAGTGACGCTGAGGCCTTTACCTGGTTAGTTAGAAAGTGGCGTGGTGAAATGCGTAAAGAGAATCACTGTCATGAAAGCTACAGGAACAGGATCTAAACTCAGAGAAATGGTGGAGCTGCTGCTGAGCCCCGGGGCCACCCCTGAGTTACTGAGACCTAACTAGAAGGTGATAGAAGAGAGTCATGTTTTCCTCCTTCAGGCTATAGACAAAATGTTAACAAGACTTGTAATGGTCGTGGTTAATGAAAAAGTATCACACGGCACCAAGTTGTTTATTTCTTTAAATTTGTCTTTATACCATGTAATATTCCTTAGTAGTATAATGCTTCGCTGGTTTACTATAATTGCTTTCTAAAGGGGTTATTAAGAGTATATCAAGTTCATTTCCCTTAATCACATCTATAAATTTAACTATTGGTAATATTAAAGGGCAATAAAGTTATAACTGAGCTGGAGGCAACAAATCCTCACAGCAGGACAACAGCTCAGAGACAGCCTGTTTGTTGCAAGCCAGGCTCCAAAGAACGAGCTTCATGGAAGAACCGGTGAAATCCGAATAAAGCCTGTCATTCAGTTAATCGTACTGTTCTCGTGTTACTGAATTTGAACCACTGTCCTAAGGTTGTAGATCAGATGTTAGTTAACATTAGAAGAAATAAGTGAAGTATACAAAGGAACTCTAGGCTGTCTTTTCAACATTTCTGGAGTCTAAAACATTTAAAAAAGTATCAAAGCAAAGGTCAGAACACCGAGGCCAGCTGCACCCTCTCCATCTGGGACAGACTGAGTTTTTGAAGGATATATTTAGTTGTCAAATAGCAAGTGGGAAAGTTTAGGAAAATAGAATAATTACTCTAAATTACTTATAATTATTTCAATTTATACATTTATAATTTCTTTGTGTGGTCCTTGGAAATAATTAAGGAAAACTGTTCAAAAGTATACTGACTCTTGTAATCCAAAGTCATGTTAATTAGGATCGACTTAGCTCAGAGCTAGTCCTGTAAGATTTTAGAGATTTGCATTTCTAAAATTTTAGCACAACCAAGTCTATTTAGGCAACACAAAAAATGATAAATTTATTACCTGAGGTACACCAATTTTTCTGCAAGCTTCTAGGAAATTCTCCACATTTCGCCTGCATTTCGCCATTGTTAATTTAGGCTGAAATGAGGAAAAGAAAATGTGTTACTAGACAAGTTTTGTTTTTGGGACAGGGTCTCGCTCTGTCACCCAGTCTGGAGTGCAGTGGCGCAAGCTTGGCTCACTGTGTCCTTGACCTCTCGGGCTCAGGTGATCCTCCCACCTTAGCCTCCCAAGTAGCTGGCTATAGCTGCAAGCCGTCACACCTGGGTAATTTTTGTACAGACAGGGTTTCGCCACATTGCCCAGGCTGGTCTTGAATTCCTGAGTTCAAGCAATCTGCCTGCCTTAGCCTCCCAAAGTGCTAGGATCAGAGGCATGAGCTACAGGCCCAGCCTGCTAGCAACATTAAAAAATATTTACTAACTTTAAAAATACCCTTGGCAATCGCTTCATAACTCTCAATGCTGTAGACTAGGGGGTTGGCAAACTTTTCTTTAAAGGATCAGATAATAAACGTTAGTTTTGAAGGCCACAAGAACTGTTGCAACGCCGGATGCAGTGGCTCAGGCCTGTAATCCCAGTACTTTGGGAGGCCAAGGCGGGCGGATCACCTGAGGTCGGGAGTTTGAGACCAGTCTGACGAACATGGGGAGACCCCGTCTCTACCAATAATACAAAAATTAGCCGGGTGTGGAGGTGGGCACCTGTAATCCCAGCTACTCAGGAGGCTGAGGCACAAGAATTGCTTGAACCCGGGAATCCGGGAGGCAGAGGTTGTGGTGAGCCGAGATCGTGCCACTGCACTCCAGCCTGGGCAACAAGAGGGAAACTCCGTCTCAAAAAAAAAAAAAAAAAAAAGAGAACTGTTGCAACCACTCAATTCTGCTAGGAGCTTGAAAGCAACTATAGACAATATGCAAACAAGAAAGTGTGGCTGGGTTCCAATGAAACTTTATTTACAACAATAAGTGCTGGCTTGTGGGCAGTAGCTTGTCACCTCACACTTTAGAAATCGGCTTTGATTTTGTAAGGCAAGTACTAAATAGAAAAACTTTGAAAGAATAAAAATATATTTTTTTTCCATTTTAAAACAATGTAACACTAAAGCAGCAGTCCTCAACCTTTTTGGCACCAGGGACTGGTTTCATGGAAGACGATTTTTCCATGGACCGGGTGGAGTTGGGGGATGGTTTCAGGATGATTCAAGCCCATTACATTCATTGTGTATTTTATTTCTATTATTACATTACAATATATAGTGAAATAATCACACATAATGAAATCCACCATAACGTAGAGTCAGTGGGAGCCCTGGGTTGTTTACCTGTAACTACACAGTCCCATCTGGGGGTGACAGGAGACAGTGATAGATCATCGGGGATTAGAGTCTCATAAGGGGCACGTGACCTCGATCCCTTCCTCACATGCACAGTTCACACCAGCCTTCATGCTCCAAGAATCTAACACTGCTGCTGATCTGACGGGAGGCAGAGCCCAGGCGGTGATGTGAGTAATGGGGAGAGGCTGTAAATACAGATGAAGCTTTGCTCACTGGCCCACTGCTCACCTCCTGCTGTGTGGCCCAGTTCCTAACAGGCCACAGACTGGTACCCGTTTGTGGCCCAGGGGTTGGGGACCCCTGCACTAAAGAAAACTTAGAGCCACAGCCAAAAAAATTAACTACCCATAGTTCATCATGTAAATATAACTATAACACTTGATTCATTGAGTGCAGTGGCACGATCTTGGCTCACTGCAAGCTCCACCTCTTAGACTCAAGTGATTCTCCTGCTTCAGCCTCCCAAGTAGCTGGGACTACAGGTGTGCACCACCACACACACCTAATTGTTGTATTTTTAGTAGAGATGCAGTTTCACTATCTTGGCCAGGATGGTCTCAATCTCTTGACCTTGTGATCCGCCCACCTCGGCCTCCCAAGGTGCTGGGATTACAAGCGTGAGCCACTGTACCCGGCCCTTTCTTTTTTAGGGTCAGGGTCTCGCTCTGTTGCCCAGGTTGTTCTGCAGTGGCATGATCGTGGCTCACTGCAGCCTCAAACTCCTGGGCCCAAGGGATCCTCCTGCCACAGCCTCCTGAGTAGTAGGTGCACACCTAATTTTTTTAAGTTTTTTTGTAGAGACAGGGTCACTATATTGCCCAGGCTGGTCTTAAACTCCTGGCCACAAGTGATCCTCCTGCCTGTCTCCTTCTCAGCTTCAGCTTGATCCCACAGGGAGCTCACAAGTGTGAACCACATGACACTCCCTCCTTGAGGTAGGAGGGCTCAGCCCCATGCTTGTCAGTCATTGGCTATGGGCTAGGGGAAAAGCAAGGTGGCCTAGGACAGGTCCCTAAAATACACTGGGGGAAGAGTATATGACATCTGTAAGTTTTGGATGGCGTAGTTAAAATACACATACAAATATAGAGACATAATGCAAGTATGGCAAAATGCAAGCAATGTCAGATCTAGGTGTAGACTTTAATAGTGTTCGTTGTATGATTCCTTCCACTTTTCTGAAGGTTGAAACTTTCTCATGATAAAAATGTGAGGAAACAGAGGAGAGGTGTGTCAACCCAAAGTCTGTTCTTTTGTGGACTGCCATCTGATACTGATGTCCAGACCTGACCAGCAGTGCAAAGAGAACCTGCCAGTTATCTCGAATGTGTTTTCTCCCTCACCTTCCACCTGAGGTCGGTCACAGATCATGTCAATTTTACCTCTGAACCATCTTCCCTCTCACTGCCCTATTAATCCAGGCTTGTTATCCTCCTGGCCTGGACTAATACAACAGCCTTTTAATTGGGCATCTTTCTTTTCTTTTTTCTTGAGACAGAGTCTCGCTCTGTCTTGCCCAGGCTGGAGTGCAGTGCAGTGACGCAATAGCTCACTGCAGCCTCCGCCTCCCGGGTTCAAGTGATTCTCCTGCCTCAGCCTCCCGAGTAGCTGCGATTACAGATGTGTGAACCACTCCTGGCTAATTTTGTATTTTTAGTAGAGATAGGGTTTCACCATGTTGGCCAGGCTGGTCTTGAACCCCTAACCTCAGGTGATCCGCCAGCCTCGGGCTCCCAAAATGCTGGGATTACAGGCATGAGCCACTGCACCCAGCCTCTTTTCCTTTTTCTTTTAAGAAACAAGATCTTGCTATAGCACCCAAGCTAGTCTCAAACTCCTGGGCTCATAGGATCCTCAGGCCTCAGACACCCAAGTAGCTGGGACTACAGGCACGAGCCACTGAGCCTGGCTTGGGCATCTTTGTAGTGTACCACCTTTAATTTATCCATTTCTCACTTAGCACCAAATTCTTCATTCTTTTTTTTTTTTCTTTGAGACAGGGTCTTGCTCTCTCACCCAGGCTGCAGTGCACTGGCACAATCACCGCTCACTGCAGCCTCGAACTCCCACGCTCAAGTGATCCTCCCACGTCAGCCTCCTGAGTAGCTGGGACTACAGGCACATGCCACCATGCCCAGCTAATTTTTGTATTTTTGATAGAGACGGGTTTTGCCATATTGTCCTGGCTGGTCTCAAACTCCTGGGCTCAAGCAATCTGTCTGCCTCGGCCTCCCAAAGTGCTAAGATTATAAGCATGAGCCACCGCGCCCAGCCTAGATTCATCATTCTAAACTGCAATTATAATCATGGTATTCTCCCTTTAATTCAAGGTTTCCTCATTGTCTGTAGTAGGGTAAACTTTCTTGACATGCTTCATAAGGCCTTTGTACCACAGCCCCAGCTTACCTCTCTAGCCTTACCCTTCCCATTTTTATCTACAACCCTGTGCATGATCCATTCTGAACAATCCACCAATTCCTTAAGTAAGCCGTAAGTTTCCTTAGCTTCTGAATCTAGAAATCCTGTGCCCAGAAGGCCTCCTTCCCTCTCTGTACTGCTGGAAAATTCCTTCTTAAACTTCAAGAATTAGTTCAAATTTTGCCCGTTCTGGGAAGGCTTCCCTGAACTCCCCAGGCGGAGTTAAGTGGCCCGTTTTTGTATCCCTATAACACACATTGTACACGCCTTTCTTAGAACATTTATCACACTGCATACATGTCTGTTTCTTCTCCACTAAAAGTGAGACCAGGAAGGTAGAGACTGGACTCTGTATCTGTATCCTTAATATCTAGCACAGTGCTTAAGAAATGTCTGTCCACTGTGCTTAACAAATGATCTGATGAATAGTCAACGCTTTTTAGCATTATCAACTTACTACAGCTGGTGAGGGAACGTGAATGCTTGGGACAGATCGAGGTCGCACATGATTAGCCAAATGGCAAAGAACAACACCATCAGTTAGAGCTGCTCCAAGATCACAAGGCAGAGAGACTTTCAACCGGTACTCAATATGCTGAAAGAACAAAAACCATGTAATACATTAACTGAAGAATGATTGACATATACATAAGGGAGTTACAATGAAATCTAATTAGAAATCAAGATAAAAAGGAAATAAGTACCACAATATCCATTTCATCCCTCTATCCTAAGTCTAACTTAAGGAGATCTAATATATATGGATGGCAGCCAGGCCATAGTGGTACAAAGTACAACAAAAATTCATTTACAACTTTCTGATTTAAAAAAAAACACTAGATTCTCCTTCAATTCCAAAATAAAGTCAAGAGCCAATCACTCACTATAGGTGTATTTATATACGTGTGCACACACATATAAATTATTAATCTGACGATATTTCTTTATAACATGAAGTAGGAAAAAAAGGAAAAACTTTAAATGAGTAGAGCTAGGAACTGAGCTTTATAGAATAAGCCATCTCATTTTTTAAGTAAATCGCTGAAAAGAATTTCCTTAATAGTAAAGTGTTTTACATTCATCACAAAACATGGCACACAATGGCACCTGTTGATTCCATTAAAAATTACAGCCGGGCACGGAAGCTCATGCCTGGAATCCCAGCACTTTGGGAGGTCAAGGTCAGTGGATCACCTGAGGTCAGGAGTTCAAGACCAGCCTGGCCAACATGGTGAAACTCCTTCTCTACTAAAAATACAAAAATTAGCTGGGTGCAGTGATGGGCACCTATAATCCCAGCTACTCAGGAGGCTGAGGCAGAAGAACTGCTGGAACCCAGGAAGCACAGGCTGCAGTGACCCAGGATCATGCCACTGAACTCCAGCCTGGGTGACAGAGCGAGACTCCGTCTAAAAAAATAAATAAATAAAAATGATGTGTCAAATCAAGACCTGATTACAGGATTATGGTCTATAGCAGTAACACTGAAAAAGTATAAATCAAAGGCAATGTACATACTTTACGCAGTTGATCTATTAATTCTAGCTCTTCTTCTCTCTGTCTTGAATTCTGTCTTGTTATGGAATCTGTAGAATCAGTGGTAGGTGCAGCAGACGGAGGAAGGGGTGAAGCATGACCTATAAAAATATTAGTATGTAAGACAGAAAGGCAACTGGCAATGCTAGGAAAACATTCAGATCTGCCTCATCACAGTTTTCCTGCAAGTACACTATATTGCTTCCTACTTTCCGGATTGACTTTTCAAAAGGGTTTTTATTATGGAGATTTTCAAATATACACAACAGAGAACAGTACAGAAAACTACATAATGTTCGTTACCCAGTTGACTCAACTACTTGTGTTTGATTACAGCCACTTAAAAATGTTTTTATTGAAAATTAATACACATACAGAAAAATAAACAAATCGTAAGCACAGTGCTCAATAAATTCTCCTCACCAAGTGAACACAATCAGGTTTATAAATGCAGTCTTACCAATCCCAGGGTCCCCTTCCGTGCTCCTTGCCCACAAGCACCCAAAGTGCTCAAAACCGCATCCTGACTTCTAACACACTGACTGGTTTGGTTCATTTTTGAACTTTGTATAAATTATGCTGTATTGTATGTGTTCTTCTGTTTCTGGCTTCCTTTGAACAATGGTATGTTTGTGAGATTTATCCATATTGCTGTATACAGGAATTTGTTCATTTTCATTGCTTACATGGTATTCCGTTGTACAAATATATGACAATTCACTTATCCATTCTATTGATGGACATTCAGTTTCCGGCTCTTATGAATAATGTTACTATGAATATTTTTGTACACGTTTTTGGCACATGTGTGTACATATTTCTCAAAAGTAAAACTGCTGGTCATAGGATACACAGTCATCCCTAAGTATCCAGGGGAAACTGGTTCCAGAAACCGCCCCTCATTCTCATAACAAACTTGGTGAATCCTCAAGTCACTCATATAAAATGTAGTATTGTTTGCATACAAACTATGCATATCTTCCTTTATACTACACTTTAACTCATCTCTATATTACTTACTTCATATAATGTAAATGCCAAACTGTTACTATATTTCAAAATTTGTATTATTTCTTTATTGTGGCATTGTTTATTATTGTTGTCTTGTTTCTGACCTTTTCTGTCCATGACTGGTTGAATCCATAAATACAGCATCCGAGGGTACGGAGGCTGACTGTTAACAGTCTTCCATGCTTTCTCACACTCTTACCAGCAGTGCATCTGTAGTTTGACTTTTAAATCTTACTGCGAATGCGTAAGTCTGTTGGTATCATTAAAGGTAAGTTGTGTTTTTTGTTTTTTTTTGAGACAGGGTTTTACTTTGTCACCTAAACTGGAGTGCAGTCGCGCAATCTTGACTCACTTCAGGCCTCAACCTCCTGGGCTCAATCCATCCTCCCGCCTCAGTCCCCCAAGTAGCTGTGACTACAGGTCTGCACCACCATGCCTTTTATATATATAATTTTTTTTTTTGAGATGGAGTCACACTCTGTTGCCCACGCTGGAGTGCAGTTGTGCAATCTCGGCTCACTGCAAGCTCCGCCTCCCAGCTTCATGCCATTCTCCTGCCTCAGCCTTCCGAGTAGCTGGGACTACAGGCGCCCACCACCACGCCCGGCTAATTTTTTTTGTATTTTTAGTGGAGACGGGGTTTCACCGTGTTAGCCAGGATGGTCTCGATCTCCTGATCTCATGATCCGCCCGCCTTGGCCTCCCAAAGTGCTGGGATTATGGGCATGAGCCACCGCACCCAGCCAATTTTTTTTTTTTTTTTAAGAGACAGGTTTTGCCATGTTGCACAGGCTGGTCTCGAACTCCTGAGCTCAAGTGATTCCACCTACCTCGACCTCCCAAAGTGCCAGGATTACACGCATGTGCCACCACGCCTCGCCTATTTTTAAATTTTTGTTGAGACGTAAGTTTCACACTGTCATCCAGGCTGGAGTGCAGTGGCGCGATCTCAGCTCACTGCAAGCTCCACCTCCTGGGTTCAAGGGACTCTCTGCCTCAGCCTCCCAAGTAGCTGGGATTACAGGCGCCTGCCACCATGCCTGGTCAGTTTTTTTGAGACATGGTCTTAACTCTGTCCCAGACTGGAGTATTGTGGCGCCATCTTGGCTCACTGCAACTTCTGACTCCCAGGTTCAAGAGATTCTCCTGCCTCAGCCTCCTGAGTAGCTGGAATTACAGGCGCCTGCTGCCACGCCCAGCTAGTTTTTGTATCTTTTCAGTAGAGATGGGGTTTCACCGTGTTGGCCAGGCTGGTCATGAACTGACTGATGTGATCTGCCCGCCTTGGCCTCCCAAAGCGCTGGGATTACAGGTGTGAGCCAGCGTGCCCAGCCAATTTTTGTATTTTTAGTAGAGACAGGGTTTTGCCATGTTGGCCTCCTGACTCAAGTGATCTGCCTTCCTCAGCCTCCCAAAGCACTGGGATTACAGGCGTGAGCCACCACGCCTGACCTTGTTTTTGTTTTGTTTTTTTTAAGAGACAGAGTCTTGCTCTGTTGGTCAAGCTGGAGAACAGTGGTGCTTTTAATTATAACTCACTGTAACCTTGAACTCCTGGACTCAAGCAATCCTCCCCGCCAGCCTCCCAAGCCGCTGGGACCACAGGCACACACCACCATGACAAAAGTCGTTTTGACTTAAAATGTTTGTTTCCACTCCCAGGTAACTTCTTTGGGACCAGGGAGAAATCTGTCATTATTAACTAAAAGAACATGAGACTTTAAGTAGATTTTTAAAAAATTATTGTTTTAAGAAAACAGCTTTTATCAATAGAAAAATGTGAACGAGTTCATTACCAAGACAAAGAACATTCTCTAAAGCCTTGAAACAGCATTTTATTTGTTCAAACACTCTATAACCTGCTTTCAGGTGTTACTAAGAAACTTTCTAATCCAAACAAATTCAGGTAAGATTTTCCTGCTTTAAATCAGTGAGATCACAGACACATGCTTTTGCCAAGCTGATAGTTTGGTGTAGAAGTTTAAAAGCATCCATTTAACAGCTAGCGTCATTGTGCAAACCTCCCCTCGCCCCTGGATTTTAAAATCACTACCACCTACCTTTGTTGGTTTCTGCCCTGCCACCTGCTCGGAAAAGGAAGCTTTCAGGGCGCTGAGGCTGATTTCTCTGGATAGCAGCAGGAAAAGCATATGCAGAGGAATGATGAACTAAATCAGCATGAAAAGTAAAATGAGATTAAAGGAGATGAAAAGAAAATATAATAGCAGACATACAAGTTACAAAAGTAGCAAGTAAAAAATAAAATTAAACATGGCAAAGATATAAAATAATCCTATTTAATAATGAAAAGTCTGGTACAGAAAAGTAATCATGAAAGCAGGAGGCCTGCTTGTATGTATTTTACATTGTCATGTTATTTTTGGTGTATCAATACAGGCAGAATGAATGCTAACGTATTGAACAGTCTCCTGCAGACCTATGGCCCTGCTAGCTGTTGTTCACTTACTCATATCAAATGGCTGACGAGTTGAACAACCAATTTAATTTAAAAATGGGGGAAAAAAAACCCAGTGGTTTCCAATTCTGTATCTGATTTCTATCTCAGAAAAAGCAGTCGCAGCTCTCTAACAAGTAATTTAGGAAAATCTTGGTAAAAAATTATAATCTTGGCAGGGTGCTGTGGCTGACATCTGTAATCCCAGCACTTTGGGAGGACAAGGCAGGAGGATCACCTTGAGCCCAGGAGCTTGAGATCACCCTGGTCAACATAGAAAGGCCTTGTCTCTATTTATTATTATTTTTTAAATAAAAAGAATAAAGAATTATAATTTTGATGTGGTAAAGTGCACCTTTGTGTCTATTACCTGTTTCTGTTGTAGGTGAACTTAATAGAGTATTAGGTCTGTCATCACTCTGTGGAGAAACAGACATATATCAATAATTGTTACTCAAGAAGAAATACTTTCTACTTTTATGATAATTTTGAAATTATAAAAGACAAAAAACAGGTATGGTGGCTTGTGCCTGTAATCCCAGTACTTTTGGAGGCTGAGGTGGGAGGATTACTTGAGAGCAGGAGTTGAGACCAGCCGAGGCAACATAGCGAGACCCTGTCTCTACAAAACATTTAAAAAATGAGTCAGACCTGGTGGTGTGTTCCTATAGAGGCTGAGGTGGGAGGATTATTTGAGCCCAGCAATTAAAGGCTGCAGTGAGCTATGACTGCGCCACTGCACTCCAGCCTGGGTGACAGAGGAAGACTCACTCTCTTTCTCTCTCTCTCTTTTTGAGACAGAGTCTCACTCTTGTCACCCAGGCTAGAGTGCAATGGCATGATCTTCCAAGCTCAGGTGATCCTTCTACCTCAGCCTTCCAAGTAGGTAGGAGCACATCACCATGCCCAGTTTTGTATTTTTTGTAGAGACAGGCTCTTGCCATGTTAGCCAGGTTAGTCTCAATCTCCTGAGCTCAAGTGATGAACCTGCCTCAGCCTCCCAAAGTGCTGGATTATAGGCATAAGCTACCGTGCCTAGCCTGACCCCCTCTTTAAAAAAAAAAAAAAAAAGGCCGGGCGCGGTGGCTCAAGCCTGTAATCCCAGCACTTTGGGAGGCCGAGGTGGGTGGATCACGAGGTCAGGAGATCGAGACCATCCTGGCTAACACGGTGAAACCCCATCTCTACTAAAAATACAAAAAAATTAGCCGGGCGTGGTGGCAGGCGCCTGTAGTCCCAGCTACTCGGGAGGCTGAGGCAGGAGAATGGCGTGAACCCAGGAGGCGGAGCTTGCAGTGAGCCGAGATAGTGCCACTGCACTCCAGCCTGGGCGACAGAGCAAGACTCCGCCTCAAAAAAAAAAAAAAAAAAGGAAGAAGAAGAAGAAATGAGGATTTGGTGAAATGAATTAATTCTGTATTTTTAAAAGCAAGATTTTATTTTATTTTATTTTGAGACGGAGTTTTGCTCTTATTGCCCAGGCTGGAGTGCAGCGGCACAATCTCGGCAAACCGCAACCTCTGCCTCTCGGGTTCAAGTGATTCTCCTGCCTCAGCCTCCCAAGTAGCTGGGATTACAGGCGTGCACCACCATGCCTGGCTAATTTTTTTGTATTTTTAATACAGATGGAGTTTCTCCATGTTAGGCTGTTCTAGAACTCCCGACCTCAGGTGATTCACCTGCCTCGGCCTCCCAAAATGCTGGGATTACAGGCATGAGCCACCACGCCTGGCTTTTTTTTTTTTTTTGAGATGGAGTTTCACTCTCACTGCCCAGGCTAGAGTGCAATGGAGCAATCTCGGCTCACCACAACCTCCGCCTCCCAGGTTCAAGTGATTCTCCTGCCTCAGCCTCCCAAGTAGCTGGGATTATAGGCATGTGCCACCACGCCCAGCTAATTTTGTAATTTTAGTAGAGACAGGGTTTCTCCATGTTGATCAGGCTGGTCTCAAACTCCTGACCTCAGGTGATCCACCTGCCTCGCGACCTCCCAAAGTGCTGGGATTATAGGCATAAGCCACCACGCCCGGCCTAGTCGTGTTTATATAAAGACAGTCCACTATTTAACAAGCTCTTCCTAAGACTATGAAAAATGATCATCCTAAGACAGAAAACGTTACTGGGAAATATATGAGAAAGAAAAAGCAACATTTTATTTTCTAATAGTATTTCTCCATAATAGTTTCTAAAGTACTTTTTTCTCTGGAGAATAAAATTTAATATTTTCAAAAAGTAATATAGTTCCCTAATTTCAGTTAGGAAAGAAGATGTTTAAGAGATGATAGATATATTTTCTATACTAGTATTTGAGTCCAAGACATTTTTAATTCATTGACCGAAAGAACTGTAAAAAGAAGGAAGAACTAGCTAAACAGTTACAAAGCTTACCTAAAGAAAGGGAAATGTAGTTAAGCTAATTTACAAAGAAATGTTGGTTGACTGGGTTAAAGATGTTGAAGACCTGGCAGGGGAGTAAAATTAAGAAAAGCCAGAGGGTGCGACGGGTCACGCCTATAATCCCAATATTTTGGGAGCCGAGGTGGGCAGATCACGTGGTCAAGAGATCAAGACCATCCTGGCCAACATGGTGAAACCCCGTCTCTACTAAAAATAAAAAAATTAGCTAGGCATGGTGGCGGGCACCTGTAGTCCCAGCTACTTGGGAGGAGAATCACTTGAACACGGAGGCAGAGGTTGCAGTGAGCCGAGATGGTGCCACTGCATTCCAGCCTGGGCGACAGAGCAAAACTCTGTCTCAAAATAAACAAACAAACAAATAAACAAATAAAAAGCTAGAACATTAACAGTTTTTTAGGCCTTGATATCTAATTGCCTTGAAATATAATCTAAATATATTATAACTTTATGATACAACTAAAGCACATTTCTGGACATAATGACCCTAAACTAACACAAATGTACCCATCTGCTCCCATGCGTTCCCCACCATTGGCTGCAATATTTTCAGAACTCTGACATCGCTACTTAGAGTTGGGTCAGATACATTAACGACAACAAATAATTTTAACTGCGAAAAATAAATAAATAAACAAACCAAGGCCATCTATTGAGAAAATTCTTAAGACTCACCTGGAGACAATTTTCTGGTAACAATTCCTTACTTTGATATCACAGGTTGAGAACTAAGATTTAAACTGTGAGCTGCGCTCGTAAGGCAGAGTGTTCACATCTTAGGTGAAAAAGACCCGTTCATCGGGTTTACAGATGCAAGTAAACTAAGTTCTGGGTAGGCTGCGCTCGTGAGTAAGACAGTATGTTCACATCTTAAGTAGAAAAGACCCGTTCATCGGGTTTACAGATCTAGTAAACTAAGTGAAAAAGACCCGTTCATCGGGTTTACAGATGCAAGTAAACTAAGTTCTGGGTGTTGAGAAAAAATGGAAATTTAAATAAGAAATTTAATTCAAACAAGAGTAACAGAAACTGATAAAAGGAATGAACAGGTAAATGAGGCAAAAGCCAGATATCTTTATAAGGAAGTAAAAGACTATGTTTATTTTCAAGGGCTGTGAACAAGTAGAAAGTTGGTTAAACAAAGACATGTTCAAGGACCAATAACACAAAAAGAGAAACATTCAAGGTAGAGATTATTCTAGACATGGAGGAAAAAATATTTCCCAAAACTTAAAAAACACTTATTTATAGGACACAGACTAGAAATTTAAATGTATCAAGGAGTAAAAGGAGAAAGTTAATAGGCGACTTTATTAGATGAGAAAGAAGAGCTGAAACAAACAACGAACAACACTGATGGGCAGCGAACGTTCTCTCCCTTCGGTTTGAAATAGCAACAGGCCAGGTGTAGTGACTCACACCCGTAATCCCAGCACTTTGGGAGGCAGGGGTGGGTGGACTGCCTGCGGTCAGGAGTTTGAAACCAGCCTGGCCAACATGGTAAAACCCCATCTCTACTAAAAATACAAAAATTAGCCAGGCGTGGTGGCGTGTGCCTGTAATCCCAGCTACCCGGGAGGCTGAGGTGAGAGAATCACGTGAAACTGGGAGGCAGAGGTTGCAGTGAGCCGAGATCTCACCACTGCACTCCAGCCTGAGTGACAGAGCAAGACTCCATCTCAAAGGAAAAAAAACAAAAACAGCAACAAATAATACACAACTGGATATGATTAAAACAAAGCCAGAATAGAGGAGACCTGTAAAAATGGTTTCTGAAATGTATTTTTATTAAAGCTGTAAATCTAAGTGACTTGCATTCTAGGATACCAAAATAATTAGCATAAATCACTGTGAGGCCATTAACTATATTTGGGAACTCCCAGAAAACTGGAGAGCAAAAAAAGGTTAAGAAATAATCTCTCACTAGAGAATTTAGGCAACAGAAAGAAAACCCCAGAAACTGATATAAACTCAACTTTTACGCCTGGCTAAGCAATAAAAGAAATAAATTCCTAAGTATAATGTATAACCGCTGTGAAAGTAATACAGAAACTAAAAAATAAAGAATAAATCTTTTAAAATAATCATTTGACAATACAGCAGGTCTGATAGAAAAAAAGACTTATCTAAAGTCTAATAAAGTTTTCTATTTAATCTCACATGACAGTCACCGTAGAACAAGACAATGTGGTCTGTCTGGATCACATAGCTTTTGGCACAGTCAAAACAATTCTCAGTTATGACTCTGAATAAGCCACAATGCCTGAAGGTATTCACGGAGCACAAGTTAACTTCTCTCCCATACAACTAGAATGGTGCTAGTTATGTACCTTCCTTGAGATAATTTTGAAAAAAAGTTTCTGAAATAATTTTCTGTGTTGTTCCAATAAGGATCCCAGTTGAGAAAGGCTAGCAAAGGATTAACATGGAAGAGAATTATAAAGTTTTTTCAGGAGGCATCCAGGTATGTAGCGTATGTTCAATAATAACCAGAGAAGGTTTCTTAGATTTACAGTTGTTATAAAGTTGAGGTTATTAGCCGGGCTTGGTGGCGGGCGCCTATAATCCCAGCTACTCGGGAGGTCGAGGCAGGACAATCGCTTTAAACCCAGGAGGCAGAGGTTGTAGTGAGCCGAGATCGTGCCATTGCACCCTGACCAGGGCAACAAGAGCAAAACTCCGTCTCAAAAAAAAAAAAAAAGCTGGGGTCAGCATTTAAAAAAACACGATGCAGACTAAACTGAGGGTTCCCAGAGGCTGGGAAGGGTAGCGGGAGGGTGGCAGGAGGAAATGGGGATAGTTAATGGGCCCAAAAAAAATAAAAAGAATAAGATCCAGCATTTGATAGTACAAAATGGTCATCATAGTCAATAATTTAATTGTACATGTAAAAATAACTAAAGGAGTATAACGGACTGTTTGTAACACAAAGGACAAATGCTTGAGGCGATGGACAGCCCGTTTACCTGATGTCATTATTGCGCATTGTATACCTGTATCAAAACACCTCATGAACCCCATAAATATACATACTTGCTATGTACCCACAAAAATTAAAAACTAAAAAAAAAAAAAAGGGGGGCATGAATCAAGAATTCGGTTTTAATGTTTTTAGAGAGACGGTCTTGCACTGCCCCAGGCTGGGCTGCAGTGGTGTGATCGCAGCTACTGCAGCCTTGAATTCCTGGCCTCAATTGTAGTCCCCCCTCAGGCTCCCAACTCTGGGATTACAGGTGTGAGCCAGTGTGCCTGGCTCAATGCAACCATTTGGAAGTATTCTGGTACATTAGACAAGTAAAAATATTCAAACACCAAAATTAAATTTTCAGGAAAAAATAAAGAATATAACATGAGGAAAATAACTGTCATTGAGAAATTGAAGGCGGGTGGGTACAGTGGCTGACACCTAGTACTTTGGGAGGCTGAGGCAGGATGATCTCTTCAGCCCAGGAGTTTGAGACCAGCTTGGGCAATACAGTGAGACCTTGTCTCTACAAAAACTTAAAAAATTAGCCCGGCATGGTGGTGCACATCTGTATTCCCAGCTACTCAGGAGGCTAGGGTGGGAGGATCCAGCCTGGGAGACACAGCAAGACCCTGTCTCAACACATAAAAGAGGTATAATTAAAACATTTGAGAATTACAGTGGATACTGGGCAAAATGAAGATCAAAAATTTAAAAATCACCCTAAATGAGCAAGCTCTAATGAGGGATGTATTTCTAGTTGTGGACCATGAAGCCAGAATGGAGGGCAGAGAACTTGTGAAAATTCATTAAAGATTAACAGGCTGGGAAAGCCATGTAAAAGGATCTGAGTTTATTGAGGAAGAAGCTAAGGATGGCATCATAATTGTTTTTAAATTCTTACACTAAAAAAATTGTATTTTGTGTAAAAAAAAAAAAAAAAAAAGGATTCTTACACTAAAAAATGCTAAATAACTAGAAAATCTCTACTCTGGAAAGAAACAAAGTATAAACCATAGCAGGATAGTTGTAAGTTAGACAAAGGACTTCTTGACAGTGAGAACTGTTCATCATTTTGTACATATCCAATGATAACAAATAAGGAATTACCACTCCTAGAGGCCTTCAAAAAATAAAATACTACACGTTCTTAATTTTTAGAGTTTAAATTTTTCCAGAAGGTGGAATGTATCATCTCTTATGACATTACTGTTGAAAAAAGCAGGGGGTTGCGATTTTTTTCTTATAGGGCCGGACTCTACATATTTTAGGCTTGCAGGTACATGATCTTGGTCACAATTATTCCACCTCAGCTGTTTACTAGGCAGGCAGCCACAGGCAATGCAAACACAAGGGATTGGTTATATAACAATAAAGCTTTATTTAAAAAAAACAAGTGGCCTAGGGCCATAATTGGTTAACCCTATGGTAGGCGTTTTGGTAGTGATAGTGTTTTTGGACTCACATTATTTTGCACATTAGACGACAGAGTTAATTCGATTTTATACGCTAACCAAAGTGAAATAATAACTCACAACAAAAAAACCTTTGATAAAAAAATCAGAATGACACATCAAACAGAATCTGAATACAAAGAATTAATATGAGCTCTGTGACTGTCTCTAGCATCGTAAAACTTTCAAACAATTTCAAGGGAAATCAACGTTAAACAGTTTCATAAACAGGTGTATTTATATCCTACATTTCAGATTGTTAGATCAATTCACTGAAAAATTCAAGGCCTTATATTTACCCCCTCCCCAAACTTCCTGGTGAATTACAGTAACAAGAGATACCTTAAGAGGCGTGAAGGCAGAAGAATGAGGCAGCGGAGCAGCACAACCCACTTGATTCAAACCTGACAGCGACTGCATTTCAAATGAGAAAGAGAAGAAACAGAAGGCAGCACTGATATTAGCAACTGTCAGGCAGGCAGATCTGACTAGTGAAATGAGAAAAGGGAAGGTCACTGACAATCTTTCCAATGGTTTACTAAGCTACTGACAGGCCAGAAAGAGAACACTTGGGGGACAAAAACCCATCAACACAGTTTTTCCACTTGTGTAATTCAGGATAGTCTCAGTACCTCATGCCACATTAATCAAGAAACGGGAGGCATGATTTATTAAAAATGATTTTATGCAGAAATAAAACAGAACATCAACAATTTTAGCATAGTAGCCTTGAAACAAATGAGTCCTGTTCCTATGATGGGAGATTTTAACCAAGCAGAACTGGTATGAATAAAAACAATATTTTTTCAACATTAATCCAAATTAGATATATTATAATGAGGATGTGAGGATTCTGCATCAACCTGAAGGAGGATCCGGCATTTCATCTCTGCCTCTGTGAAACTCCCACTGACTGTAAGAGAGGAAGGTGGAATTTCCTTTTTCTTCGAATCCTTTATCTTTCACCAACCAACATACAGCTGGTTAGATGTACTGGAGATATAGTTAGATTGTATATATATAATTATTGCCAATTAAAAAGAAAAAATTTTAAGGTATTTATTATATAGAATTTTGATTACAGGTAAGAGATGCTCAAAACATGACAATTTTTCTCCTTTGCCACACGGAGAGTGGAAATCGAGAAGATAACACTGTCACAAAGGGCACTGGGTAAGGTTTTACCTATTAAAACAACAAAATGCCAAGAGTTTAAGAATAGTGAAGTCTTTATAAGTAATTTTTAAAAATTTAAACTAGGACAACAAATTTCTAAACCATGAGATAAATGAACAAGAAAACAAATGGGCGTTTAGGAAAAGGTATGTATATGGTCAATAAAATAAATATGACTGTATTTTTAATGAGAATTAACATATTTTTATTTGACAAAAGAAGCATGTTAACACACAATGTATTACATGTATCACAAAATCTATCTTAAGGCAGCAAATAGTGAAGATAAAAATATACCACAGAATACAACTGTGACAATGGTAACACACTGTGTATGCTTCTGGGGTTTAGATTGCCTGGGCCTACTTTTTAATCAGAGGTACTAGAACGACTGCCAATGTCAAATATGAAAAGGAAAACTAGGAGGGGATGAAGAAGAGGTAAAATGAGCCTCATGAGACCTGATACAGACGAAGGCAACAGGAGCTTGAGGGGTAGCCTGAAGACAATGTCAGTGTAACTGATATTAGCTATTATAAATCTTTATTTCAAATCGTATGTTTCAAGGTCTTTAGATCAAATTCAGCATTTACCTTATGATATCATTCATCAGACCTTTTCATCATGAAACAATTTAATAACCAGTAGATGCAGAGAATTTATGTGTTCATTCAGGAAATATTTACTGACCACCTAATAAATCCCAGGAACGGTGGTAGAGATGGAGTAAATTAAGTAATATTAAGACGAAATAAAATATCCTTGTGCTCATGAAGCTTATAGTCTAGTAGTCCAATAGAAAAGAGATAATAAAAGAATAAACAAGCTGGGCACAGTGGCTCATACCTGTAATCTCAGCACTTTGGGAGGCTGGGGCAGGAGGATTGCTTGAGCCCTGGAGTTAGAGACCAGCCTGAGCAATACAGTGAGACTCTGACTCTACAAAAAATTAAAAAATTAGCCACGTGTGGCATGAGCACCTGTAGTCCCAGCTACTCAGGAGGCTGATGCTTCAAGGAACCATGTTCATGCCACTGCACTCCAGCCTGGGCAACAGAGGGAGACTCTGTCACAAAATAATTAAATAAATAAATAAAAAATGTTTAAAAAGTAAAATTAAAAATAAAATAAAAATAAAAAATAAACACCCTGTACCATGATTAAAAAAAAGTACCATGATTAAAAAAAAACTGCTGTGACAACACTAACACACCAAGTATACTTCCTGGGCCTCCTTTTCATCAAAGGTACTGGAGCTCCTGTCAGTTTATTTAACTGTCCAGCTGTGGGCTGACGTAAGGGCAGTGGGCTGCAGAAAAGCCATGTTAAAGATGGGACACTCAAACAAATACCTGAGAGATGAACAGAAATTAATCAAGGGGTATATGCAGGGAGGAAAAGGCATTCTATATAAAAGAAACAGCATTTGCAAAGGTCTGAGATGGGAAAGGGCTTATGATATTTGAAGAGTTGGAAAAATGCTGGTATAGCAAGAGCCCAGAGAGGAGACTGGAGATGGAGGCAGTAGACAGAGCACGAAGGAGCTTCGAGGCCACATTTAGACTCCACTCTGAGCTAAAACATAAGGGAATGTGCTTTGACAAATGGCTGAAGGGAATTCCAAGTTACACACCAACGGGATTTTGCTGCTGTTGTTTTTCTAAATTCCACTATTTCCTTGACAAGAGTCCTGGACTCAGACTTATACCACTTATTACAGGTGTTATTAGCCCTTCAGTTTCCTACACGGCTTCCAGCTGCAGCCCGGTGTGGAATGCAGGTCCTCCCATCAGCCAGACGGATGTGGATTCCCAGCCTTGCACTTACTATCTACGCGACCTCGCACAAGCCACAATCTGGGCCTCAGAAACCATCTGTAAAAACGTGCTACATTTAACTTTCACTCTTAAGGTTGCTGTGAGGAACAAATGAGATAATTTTGGTAAGTGTTTGGATCATCGGAGGCGCTCAATATTTGTCTGATTTTTAACTTGTTATTCGCTTCTTAGGCCAATTCACTTACACTAAAACTCTAGAGTCTGATGACTGTATTCACTATAAGACTGCCCAGTTACAAGGTGTTTTATCCATCTCAAAGGAAATGAAGATTGCAGAACACACAGAAATGTGAACAGACCATGGAAGTCTGTGTAACAGGAATGTCACGCTGAAGCACGCAGCTCATGCAGTGCTATGCAGCCTGGCGGCAGTTACTAGCACGAGACAGAACTGCTGTCGATCCTAGACTTCTGAACCGCACTACTATGAAAAACATAACATAAAACATGATGGGGAAAAAATTCTATAAACGGTTAGAATTCTCTCGCAAGGCTAATAAAAGTAAGGCTTTAAATAAACTTTCCATCTTATACTCATTTTCAGCTGATGAAACAGGCAATAAAAGTAAACCAGTGTTAAACATGATCAGTAGTTACTGTTTCCTTAAGTTTAAAAAATGAACATGAAGGAATAATCTGGAGATGTAAGTATTTAAAACCAAAGTGAAGGATTTTCGGTAGCCGAAAATACATAATAAAATAGGATGTCAAATACACAGTTGTGCAATCAGTGTCATGGGCCACCTTAACATACAGGTGACCCATGAGCCAAATTAATGATGAATAAAGTAAGTGCTCCTGGAATTAGACACATCTAAAACATGAACATTACGTTATGCCTCTGTCCCCAGCACACACACAAAGCCAATATGGTTCTCAATGCAAATGTTTGACTCTTGGTGGCCCTGACGAAGACATGAGCCGCAGGACTCTGACTTTGAAACACTGGGTCAATCACGAATAATCATGTGGGAAAATGGTTTAGTTCTTTATAAAGCATTTAGTAACAATGCTCATCATGTTTTATGGTATTTAGATATAGTTTCTGAATAAAAAGTACAAGAGCTATCCTTTAATCTCTAAACACAGAAACGTAAAACTCCATTTTGTGCGAAACTCTTACCACTAACAAGGCACTATCATCAGTATGCTGAGACCTTCTGGATGGGAAGGGGCACTGGAGAGGTGAGAAAAATGAAGCAATGTCAAAAACAAACTACGCACACGTGTGACGTATTTCACGAATACACACACAAGGAAAGAGACATATTAAGACATACTTTTGAAGATGCTGACATAGAGGACCACATTCACAATCATCTGGAATTCATGCATTATAACAGTCAGTAAGCTGGTTCTGAGTACTGATTTTCTCCCAGAGTTTAAACAACTTCAAATCGGATCTTACTGCCTAAAACCTCCCAAAGCAAGGAGGGAGCAGAAAGCTGGAGAAGAGACGTAACAATAACATAAAGGACCTGCAGTCATTTAGTGAGCCAGTGACAGACCAGTAGCCCAGGGGTCATAATTTCTAGTCTAAGTATCTCTTCATTTTCTTTCTCAAGCAAAATGAAAAGTACGATTACAATTTTTAGAACTGTTTATGTTCTTTTCCTGTGGAGCTTTAGTTTTCTTGAGAATGAATTACTTGAAAACAATCATCAAGAAGGAAATATTGGGTAAAAAAGAAAACACATATTAAATTTATCAAACTTTGGTTGTCAAAAATGTGTTAGAATTACTACCAGGTGAAGAAAACACAAGTGAACAGGCTGGAGTCAATCTTTCAGGTATTATACAAATATATAATGTTCTAACACAAAAAAAACTAGTAGTAGTTCTATGATAAAATTTTTAAAAAACCTCTATAATGGACAACTGAAAACATTTCAAACAATACACTTTCCCTTACCAGAAACACTTGTGCTTTAAAAAACCTTTATAATGGACAAGTGAAAGCATTTCAAACAATACACTTTCCCTTACCAGAAACTCTTGTGCTTTAAAAACACTGAAAATTGCTACTTGTAAAGCCCCAGGTGTTAGGTTTTCAAATGACTTATTTTATGAAAAGCAAAGTCAAAATTCACATGAAACAACGCTTTTATGCATTTTTCAAGGAGGTAATGATCATAAATTGAAAAAACTGGGTCAGGCGCAGTGGCTCACGCCTGAAATTCCAGCACTTTGGGAGGCCAAGGCGGGCGGATTACAAGGTCAGGAGTTCGAGACCAGCCTGACCAACACGGTGAAACCCTGTCTCTACTGAAAATACAAAAATTAGCCGGGCGTGGTGGTGGGCGCCTGTAATCTGAGCTACTCGGAGGCTGAGGCAGGAGAATCACTTGAACCCGGGAGGTGGAAGTTGCAGTGAGCCAATATCGCGCCACTGCACCCCAGCCTGGGTGACAGCGTGAGACTCCGTCTCAAAATAAAGAAAAAGAAAGGAACAAAAAAAAAAAGAAAGAAAAAACTGGAAAGCTTTTAAAGGGAAAATGGTTAATGAGAAAGCCAACTACAATAAAAACATTTAGTAAAAGCTTCATTTTAACAGATCAAAATAGGTGTGTAGATTTTTCAAAGGTTAAGTGATTTATTTTCTGTTAATCTGTAACAAAAATGTACTATTTGATATTATAAAATAAGTATTATCACTGATAACACTGAATCTGAAATACTATGCAAGAGTCTTTTTGGTTCAGTAGCCGCTCCATTTACCTGTACCAGGTAAAGCTCCTAGGACTCTACACACCACGCTTCAGAAATGGAGGAGGGGGGTGGTGCCTCTGCGGGGGTCAGGGGGGGAAACACAATCTCTAGATGGATGTGTACAGCTGAAAAGAGCCTGGATCTATAGATTCTAATCAACTCCTTGGCTTGTATCGTCTCCCTCATACGGAGAATTTTGTGAGGGGGAAAAAGAAAAGTGGCAATATTCAAAAAGCACTGAAAAGATGATAATTACATGTAAACATCTGCATTGCAAAAATAATCAATTTCAAAGAAAAGGTGATTACATCAACTTACCTCACCATCTAGGAGGGGTTGCTGTTTTTGTGGACTTTGTGATGCTTTTTGCTATATAACCCCAAAACCCCCCAAAAAAGGAAGCTGGTTAGAGTCTGGAACACGGAAAATAACAAATTATATTTACTAAAATAATCACATTAATTTTTTTACCTCTTGTATATAGCATTTTTCTAGATTTACTAGTTAGAACATGTTTAGTTAGAAATTTTAAAAACTATACATATACCTACAGAAACACGTTTAGAATCAGAATACTGACCTTCCCTCAGTGAACTTACTCTCTCCCTCTAATGGCTTCAGTATCACTCAAATGGTAATAACTTTAGCTAGAAGCAAATCTCAGGTTTGTGTTTTCAACTGCCTGTGGAAACTCTCTACTTGGAAACCCCACTCCACCTCATATCTGACATATTCAAAAACAAACTCACAATGTCCCATACTAACTGGCTATTTTCTCCAAAGTGTGATATCTAATCATCTAATAATAACATGATAGCATTGCTATGGTCCCTGCTTTACAACGTACTCTACCACATGTCACTGTGTACACAGTATTTCAGTGATTCTTCTACTGTGTGAGATAAAATATCATCATCATATTCATTTAGAGATAAGAAAATCGAGGAGAGGCTATGCGGCACGTGCAAGGTCTCCAAGTTCATAAGTAGCATAACAGAGGTTTGCGCCTGTCTTCCAACTGCAGAGCCTGCGTTCTTTCCACAATGCGAGACCCTCATTTGAAACCATTCTTTTAGCCTCCAAACCTTGCTTTGGGAGCTTCTTTTCTTTCACCCTCTTCAGTGATTTATTCATCATCTCTCTTACAGGTAATTCAGCAAATCCACTTTATTATAGTAATAGGGGATATAGCATCTACCATACTAGTATTAAGCATTAAGTATATCCATAATTCTGAAATAGTTAATATTTCATAGTTAAATATCACACACAGGAGGAAGCTAAAGGCATAAAATGGCTCAGCAACTTTCTAAAAGTCAAGCACACAGCAAGTGGCAAAGCTGGACTCAAATTCAGAAATTTCTGAACTTAGGCTCTTGTCTCTGTGCAATACTGCCGACCCTCAGGACCCTCAGAAGCCATCTGGTTTTTATGCCTTATTTCACACCCTAGTCTAACCATTGCGATTTCTCTCTTTAGTTTCCTCTTTCTAGTCTCTTTCTTCCTAACCGATTCTAACACGAGCACATTCGTTTTTCAGAAGTCTCTCTCTTGTCATGTTTTTTTCCTGCTTTGAAACTCAGCATTCTCTTTTACTTAACAGATCAAGATCCAACACTAATCTGACATTTAATCAAGACTCTCTACAAGTTGACTATCTCTCACTAGCTGTGTGACTTCTACAGATGGCAAACTGAATGAGTTAATTTATGCAAAGCACATAGAACAGCATTTAGGATTCAGTGTTAACCATTATTACCGAGAGGCGGCATGGACTGTGCTCACAAAATAGGCTTTGGAGCCAACCTGCCTTGTTCTAATAATAGGATTTTAATCCTGCCACTTACTATTTAATCTTAGTAAACTGCTATTCTCTCTGAGCGTGTTTCCTTGTTCATAAAAAGAAAAAAATGGTACCTAAAGAGATTGCTGGAGAATTAAATGAGTAAATGTATATAATGTACTTAAAATAGTGCCTGGTACATAATAAGCACTCAATAAGTTTTAAGTATTATCATCATCTCAATAATTCGTTTTTCCCATAAGTCTTCAATACAGACTCTCTAGGCCAGCTGGTATTTCCTGCAAGTACCATTATTTTAAATCTGCAAATCATACAAGGTCATTCCTAGTTCCCATCCTGTTTAGATTTCCTCAGCCTGGATCGAACCCCCTTTACACCATCATCCAGTCTATTCTTCCTGGCTATAGCCTACACATACTCATTCTTCAGGGTCCCGTATCATTCCTTTTTGAGGTCAATTCTGATGATACCTGTTCTCTAAGTCTTCTATTGTCTTGAGTATAAAACACGCACTTTTATTACAAGCTGTCTTATTTTGTTTTTTTCTGTGATAAGGTCTAAGCTGTGCCTGGTGGGCAGGGCTTGTATTTTATGCATCTTTATATTCCTTGTACAACCAGCATTCCATAAAGGTCTTTCAAGTCAAATGGACGGACAAAGTTAGGCTTTCAGAAGTCTAGGTTTGCCTCCTGATTATGAAAAGAAATTTACTATCAATGACTACATTGCTTAATTTTCCTACACCTGCAGCTTCCTCATCTATGAAACCTGAACACCTCCAAAAGACCTATGAAGAATAAACCAATGAAGTATTTTCATTAGTTTCAAAAGAACTATATAAAAAATTTTTATGTAGTAACAAATCAGGCAGGGATTTAAGGGAAAGAGAAATGGTTGGACAAATTAGGAGAAACAGTATGGGTATTAGATGACTTGCACAAAAAGACAATGACAGAGATAAAGGAGGCCAGGAGAACATGGCCATCAGCACAATAACGTTCTTACAAGGGGTGAAAAGGCACGAAAAGAAACATCTCAGGGCAGACGGAAGGTTCTAAGGGAGGGATTAGGAGAGGTACCTTTGTGAACTTCTGGTTGTAGGAATATTAATTTTAGTATTTTTGCTATTGGTCAAAAGATTTACCTACTTTTTTTTTTTTTTTTTTGAGATGGAGTCTCACTCTGCCGACCAGGCTGGATAGAGTGCAGTGGTGGTGATCTCAGCTCAGCTCACTGCAACCTCTGCCTCCTGGGCTCAGACAATTCTCCCACTTCGGCCTCCTGGTTAGCTGGGATTACAGGCATGCACCACCATGCCCAGCTAAATTTTTTTATTTCACTTGAGACAGGATTTTGCCATGTTGGCCAGGCTGGGCTCAAACTCCTGACCTCAGGTGATCCGCCCACTTTGGTCTCCCAAGTGCTGGGACTACAGGCGTGAGCCACCATACCCGGCCAGATTTGCCTACCTCTTGATAGAAAATAATAGACAAGGGAACTTGTTGGATGAAGAGGAATCAGGTAAGAAAGAGTTAAACATCATCACCAAGGGTCTGATACATTCAGAAAAAAATAATTTATCAGGTAAAACAGACATATGCATGGTACTTAAAGAAGATGGTCTCTAAAGTATGAAATACAGAAAAGTCTTTAGAGGACAAGAATAATTCATTTAATCATTCAACAAATATTTATTGACGATTACTATGAGCTAAAACCTGCTAAGGTCTAGGGATACAGTAGTAAGTAAAACAGACATGGTTCTTATCTTCATGGAGTTACAGATAAATGATAGACAGATATTAAGTAAACAAAATTACAAACAATTATTTAATTATGAAGAAAAAAATGATTTCAGAACAAAAAGATAAGTAATACAGGTAAAATAAAATGTCATTGTTTCAGGCGCTACTATAGAGGCTGCAAAATATTAAGAAATATTAACAGGGTTGTTAACTGAACGTGTGTGGAGAACAGAAAGAAACAAATCAAAGTTCCTGCAAAGGATTAAGCCTGTGAGGCTAGCAAACTTTTGTTATTTACTAAAGCAAGGAAGCTGGAGAGAGGTCTGAGTAACAGTTCCCATTTGGAGGGCCTTAACTCGTTATTTACTAAAGCACTATCATTTCATGTGACTGATCTTAACTATGACACCAGAAATTGAGGAAATGCCTGCTGGATAGTAAAGTGACATGTCCAATGATGGACTGCTAAATAAGAGGAAGGGATTACTGTTAATAAGATAATCACTTCCATCGTCCTTATGCAGATAGACACAAGTAAAAGAGACACTCTATTTAGTCAAGATTCCTTATAGAGAGAAAAATGGTTGACACTTTAATTGACAATAAAAACCAACAGGCTTGGCCAAACAAATAAGCACTTCACCTCTCAGCAGCTTGAACAGTGTCATTCAAAGGACTCACTTTGACAAAGTCCAGGACAGCATCTCTCTGGATCTGCTTGGTCCTTATTTTCTCCTCTTCATACTGCAGGGCAGCGAGCTGAGCCTCTCTCCGAGTGCGCTCTACTAACTGCTCCCTTCTCCGATGAAGTTCCAGGTCTGGATGTGACAGCTGGACCCAAAGCATTATTGTGCATATCAAAGTAAAAACAAGGATCACTTTACCAATATTCCCTATCAATTCAGGGAACTACTGTTGACCCATGCAACTTTTGCTTTGAAGTCACCTAGCATTTCTTTACATGTGTTTATTGCCAATCTTTTCCCATCTTTGCACCGTTCTTATATACATTAGGTTGGTACAAAAGTAATTGTGGTTTCTGCCATTGAAAGTGATGGAAGAAACTGCAATTACTTTTGCACCAACCTAATACTATAAAGCTATCACGAAGGTAAAGGTTTTCTATCTAGTGTCCAAAAACACTGTTAGCAAGTATCACGTACATATGTTATATTAACTGAGACAGCTGGTAATGCTTAAATATATCTGGCAATTAATGGCAATTTAAGTATTATAAAAGAAAAAAATAATCATCTTTAGTTTAAAAAGCAAAACTAAATAAACATAACTACTAAAAATTACCTGATTGTGACTTGCTGATAGTGACAAGAGAGAAGATGGCTCAACTGGAACCCTGATCCAAAAAAGAAAACAGAAAAAAACTCTTCAATAAAAAGACAAACAGATGTATAAAAAACAAATGAAATTTTTATTGTAAATGTAGCTTTCTATTAATCAGCAGCAAACCGCCTAGTCAGCATTGAAGGAGTAGCTGCATTTTGTAAACCTACGCCCAAGTCATTAAGTGAAACCAGAGGAAAATCTGCCACCTCCAGCTCACGTTTCATGTGGTATCACTATGTCAGCCAATAACAATAGTTAACTGAGATCACTTTTCAAACAGTATCATTTCTTTGTAACATGAATAACTATTATCTTCGTTACCACCGTGATTAAAACAAGATACATGTAAACTGAGATCCTTTCACACAGAGAGCCATTTTATCAACAAAAATCTAGAATACTACAAAACCTGGTAACTGTATTTATAAAGCACACCTGCTCTTATTTTCAATCGATGAAGTAATTTTAACACAGAAATAAAAATTCTGGTTTTTTTATTTTTAAGAAAAATACGAAACCCTTTTTTAATGCTTAAAAAAACAACAAAAAAGTACGACTTCCTCACTGTTATCAGTGTTAATTCTTGTAGTTTACTATTTATCCTTTTCCTGAAACAGATTTCATTGTTCAAGTCTCTGTAACTCATCTTTGTGTCTGAAACTAAAACTGGCAAAAGTAGTGACTGTCTGACATTTAGGACCTGGCCTCTGAAACTATGATGACGATTAGCCTATCAGGCTGATCTAAAGGCACTGAAATCAGTGTGCCATTAGGGGAACAAAAACAAAATCCTGCCATCATTGCTCACTGCAGTCTTGACCTCCTGGGCTCAAGCCATCACGCCCAGCTATTTTTTAAAAAATTTTTTTGTAGCAATGCCGGTCTTAGTATGTTGCCCAGACTGGTCTCAAACTCCTGCCCCTCAAGCCATCCTCCCATCTCAGCCTCCTAAAGTACTTGGATTACAGGTGTGTGAGCCACTGCGGCCAGCCTTTTTTTTTTTTTTTTTCTTTTTTTGAGACGGGGTCTCACTCTGTTGCCCAAGCTGGAGTGCAATGGCATGATCATGGCTCACTGCAGATTCGACCTCCTGGCCTCAAGTGATAATCTCGCCTCAGCCTTTCGAGTAGCTGGCCTACAGGTGTGTGTCAACCAACCCAGGCTTATTTCTGTAGTTTCTGTAGAGACGGGGCTTTGCTATGTTGCCCTCAAATTCCTGAGTTTTCAAGTGATCCACCAACTTGGGCCTCCCAGAGTGCTGGGATTACAGGTGTGGGCCACCGCACCCCGCCCTGATTACACACTTAGAGTAACAGGAATTAACTGCAACTTTCTCCCTGGATTGCTAATTTCACTGTTAAAATTTCCCATAGCTTTTACTGGCCATCTGTAGATGAACTGAACCAAAACACAGAAAGGACCAAATAGACCGTCTGAAGTCTGTTTATGTGCCCTAACCTGAACACTATACTTTAACAATGCTTATCAATCTTTGTTTTGTTTTGAGACAAAGTCTTGTCCTGTCGCCCAAGCTGGAATGCAGTGGCACGATCTCAGCTTACCACAACCTCCGTCTCCCAGGTTCAAGCGATTCTTCCACCTCAGCCTCCTGAGTAGCTAGGATTACAAACATGTGCCAGCACACCCGGCTAATTTTTGTATTTTTAGTAGAGACGGGGTTTCACCATGTTGGCTAGGCCGAATTTAATGAAATGCAGTCATTGAATGCCTGACCTCAGGTGATCCGCTCGCCTCAGCCTCCCAAAGTGCTGGGATTCCAGGCATGAGCCACCGTGCCCAGCTGCTTTTCAATCTTTTAATACATATCCTCTTTTTACATATGTTTCTTTTTTTCTTTTCTTTTCTTTTCTTTTTTTTGAGACAGGGTCTCATCTCACTCTGTTGTCCAGGCTTGAATGCAGTGGTGCGATCTCAGCTCACTGAGACCTCCACCTCCCAGAGTTAAGCAATCCTACCTCAGCTTCCTGAGAAGCTGGAACTACAGGTGTGCACCACCATGCCCAGCTAATTTTTGTATATTTTTAGTAGAGATGGGGTTTCGCCATGTTGCCCAGGCTGGTCTCGAACTCCTGGGCTCAAGCAGACCACGCACCTCGGCCTCCCAAAGTGCTGGGATTACAGGTACATATATTCACTTGCCCTCTTTTTACAATACTTCTTTAAAAAGCCAGTCAAACCCATTGTTTCCACTTTATCTCATTATTGTATTTTGTACCCAATCCAATCCGCATCCTGTCCTTACAATTTCACTAAAACTGTTCTTTCTTTCACCTCACAAGTTTGTCAGTGATCTTGACAACCCCAAATCTAATACTTGTTTCTTAGTCCTCCTCTTATTAAACCTATCAGCAGGGCGGGGTGCAGTGGCTCACGCCTGTAATCCCAGCACTTTGGGAGGCTGAGACGGGTGGATCATGAGGTCAGGAGATCGAGACCATCCTGGCTAACATGGTGAAACCCCAACTGTACTAAAAAAATACAAAAAATTGGCCAGGTGTGGTGGCGGGCGCCTGTAGTCCCAGCTACTCAGAAGGCTGATGCAGGGGAATGGCTTGAACCTGGGAGGCGGAGGTTGCAGTGAGTCAAGATTGCGCCATTGCACTCCAGCCTGGTGACAGAGCAAGTCTCCGCCTGGAAAAAAAAGCCTATCAGCAGTAAGTGATGTTGTTCATTCCTCTCTATACTTCTTCAAACACTGTTTTCAAGGCCAGGCACAGTGGCTCATGCTTTTAATCCCAGCATTTTGGGAGGCCAAGGCGGGAGGATCTCTTGAGTCCAGGAGGTCGAGGCTGCTTGAGCTATGATGACACCACCGCACTCCAGCCTGGGTGACACAGACCGTGTCTTGAAAAAGCAGAAACAGCAGCACTGGTTTCATTCAGCCTCTGGGACACCGCCCTCTTTCTCCCATCCCCATGACCACCCCTGCTCCGTTTGTTTTTCTGGTTGTTCAAGCCCTAATTCTCGCCACCTTACTCCAAACTCATAAATCTAACTGCTTACCTGATAATTCCACTAGGATGTCCTGCATGTACCTGAAATAGAACTTAACCACAGCAGAACTCTCACCTCACACCCCAGATGTGTCCTGCTTTACTCAGGCTCCTGGGTGTTTCTTGAATACACCAAAAGCATGTTCCTACCTCAGAACCTCTACCTAGAATGTTTCACCCCTAGACCGCCATAACATTTGCTCTTTTTCAGGTTTCTACTGAAATATTATCACTGCATCTGATATTACTTTCACTCTTCCCTTACCCTACCATCTCTTTTATCCTGCTTTATTTTTCTTCATAGCACCTAGCAGTACCTAAAATATACTTGTTACACGTATTTGTCTACATCCACTAAAAAGTAACTCTAAAATATCAGGGATTTGGAGCAGAGACAAAACCATTATAGTGCTTAAGAAATATTGCTTGAGGCCGGGCGCGGTGGCTCAAGCCTGTAATCCCAGCACTTTGGGAGGCCGAGACGGGCGGATCACGAGGTCAGGAGATCGAGACCATCCTGGCTAACACAGTGAAACCCCGTCTCTACTAAAAAATACAAAAAACTAGCCGGGCGAGGTGGCGGGCGCCTGTAGTCCCAGCTACTCGGGAGGCTGAGGCAGGAGAATGGCGTAAATCCGGGAGGCGGAGCTTGCAGTGAGCTGAGATCTGGCCACTGCACTCCAGCCTGGGCCACAGAGCGAGACTCCGCCTCAAAAAAAAAAAATAAAAATAAAAATAAAGAAATATTGCTTGAATGAATGACAGTAGCACCCTCCCCCCAAAAAGCGTAGAATATTGAGACATAAAAAACAAAATGCAGGTAACACACATGTATCTCCTCTAAATCTTGAACTTACTTGAGCTAAGTAAACCAGACTTTTCTCTCTTCAGGCAGACTTTTTTTTTTTTTTCTTTTGAGATGGAGTCTCGCTCTGTTTTCCAGGCTGGAGTGCAGGGGCACAATCTGGGCTCACTGCAACCTCCACCTCCTGGGTTCAAGCAATTCTCCTGCCTCAGCCTCCCAAGTAGCTGGGATTACAGGCCTGCGCCACCACACCAGCCAATTTTTTGTATTTTTAGTAGAGACGGGGTTTCACCATGTTGGCCAGGCTGGTCTGGAACTCCTGACCTCAGGTGATCCACCTGCCTTGGTCTCCCAAAGTGCTGGGATTACAGGCGTGAGCCACCGTGACCGGCCAGTATAAGGCAGACTCTAAACTGCCTTCTCTGTTTTTCTTTATTTACAAAATCACATAATTAATGTAAGTAGCTTTTCTGGCTTTGTCTATATAACATGAAACAAAAAAACTTTCAGGTTTTATCTAAATGTTAATTCTATATTGCTTCTTATAGAAGTTATAACACACTTTACAGAACCTAGTCTGATATGATCATGTCTCCTGAACTAAAATGCTATTCAAATTATAAGTAGGACCCATAATTTTTTTTTTTTTTTTTTTGTTGAGACGGAGTCTCGCTCTGTCGCCCAGGCTGGAGTGCAGTGGCCGGATCTCGGCTCACTGCAAGCTCCGCCTCCCGGGTTCATGCCATTCTCCTGCCTCAGCCTCCTGAGTAGCTGGGACTACAGGCGCCCGCCACCTCGCCCGGCTAGTTTTTTTGTAGTTTTAGTAGAGACGGGGTTTCACCGTGTTAGCCAGGATGGTCTCGATCTTCTGACCTCGTGATCCGCCCGTCTCGGCCTCCCAAAGTGCTGGGATTACAGGCCTGAGCCACCGTGCCCGGCCTTTTTTTTTTTTTTTTTTTAAGACAGAGTCTTGCTGTCACCCAAGCTGGAATGCAGTGGTACAATCTTGGCTCACTGCAACCTCCACCTCCAGGGTTCAAGCAATTCTCCTGCCTCAGCCTCCCGAGTAGCTAGGACTACAGGTGCAAGCTACCACACCCAGCTAATTTTTGTATTTTTAGTAGAGATGGGGTTTCACCATGTTAGCCAGGCTGGTCTGGAACTCCTGACCTCAGGTGATCTGCTGGCCTC